AAGTCCCCGACCTTGGTGGCTTAAGTCTTACACCAGGCATATGTGTGTGCCCAAGATCCGGAGAGAAGACTGGAGGGAAAGGGACTGTGGTGCGGCCATCCCCCCTGCGGGGTGACTTCTCGCTTTCTGTCTCTCTGTCTCTCTTTGTTTCTCTAGTGAGCACAGACACCCTATAGCAAGTCTCTCTCTCTAAAAAAAAAAAGAAAGAAAAAAGGGAGGCCATCAGGGGTTGGCCTTGAGACAAAAGCCACACCTCTCTCTCCTCACCACTTCTCAGGTGCTCTGCCCTTCCTCTACTCAATGCGTAATTTAGAGAAAAATGTTTTTGTAATTCTTACCTTTTTTTGGGTAGAGGTTTTTGCCTTAGGATGTGTGCACTCGCTGAAGAGAGAGACAGAGAGAATGTTAGAAATCATCCCCCAGGGGGAATGGCCATGCCACAATCCCTTCTCTTCCATTCTCTTTCTGGGATCTTGGGCACACACACTCGCACCCAGTGTGAGTTTCAAGCCAACGGGTCCAGGACTTGAACTGCGGTTGACTATGTGGGAGTCCAATGATATGACCACTATGCCATCTGCTGGACCCTATATTTGTAACTTTTTTAAAAAGGACTATTTTATTATGGGACCAGCAGTTGGCGTAATGGCTATGTAGCTAGACTCCCATGTAGTCAACCGCAGTTCGAGTCCCAAACCCGGTGGCTTAAACTCATGTGTTTGTGTGCGTGCCCAACATCCCAAGAGTAGGATGGAGGAGAAGGGATTGCGGCATGGCCATCCCCCCGGGGGGTGATTTCTCGCTTTCTGTCTCGGTCTTTCTGGCGAGCGCACGTGCCCTATAGCAAAAACCTCTCAAAAAAAAAAAAAAAAAAAGAGGAAAGAGTCTCTTAATCACCACGCCACTTGCTGGCCCCATGTTTGTAATGTTTTCTAAAAAAGAATTATGTATTTAATTTTATTTATCATTATTATGAGGATGAGAAAGATATGGGAAAAGTGAGAAAGCAAGCCACCAAGTCTAGGACTCTGACATAGCTGGCCATGTAGGGAGGCCCACTGCCTTAATCCCCATGCCACCTGCTGGCCTGTTTCTTTTTTGGAGAGATTTTCGCTATAGGGCATGTGCGCTCGCCAGACAGAGAGAGACAGAGAGACAGAAAGCGAGAAATCACCCCCCCCAGGGAGGATGATTTCTTGCTTTCTATCTCTATGTCTCTCTCTGTCTGGCGAGCGCACGCATCCTATAGCAAAAACCTCTCCAAAAAAAAAAGAATATGCCTGGTATGTTCAGGGAGTCCCTGTGGCGTAAACTCAGCACCTTCCCCACGTGGATACAGTTGCACACCGCTGCGCTACCACCCGGCTCTTCGATATGTAATTCTTTTTAAAATTTTTAAAAATTTTAAAAAGAATTACATATCGAAGAGCCGGGTGGTAGCGCAGCGGTGTGCAACTGTATCCACGTGGGGAAGGTGCTGAGTTTACGCCACAGGGACTCCCTGAACATACCAGGCATATTCTTTTTTTCTGGAGAGGTTTTTGCTATAGGACGCGTGCGCTTGCCAGACAGACAGAGAGAGACAGAGAGACAGAAAGCGAGAAATCACCCCCCCCAGGGAGGATGATTTCTTGCTTTCTATCTCTATGTCTCTCTCTGTCTGGCGAGCGCACGCATCCTATAGCAAAAACCTCTCCAAAAAAAAAAAGAATATGCCTGGTATGTTCAGGGAGTCCCTGTGGCGTAAACTCAGCACCTTCCCCACGTGGATACAGTTGCACACCGCTGCGCTACCACCCGGCTCTTCGATATGTAATTCTTTTTAAAATTTTTTTTATTTTTTTGCTGTAGGGTGTGTGTGCTTGCTAAAAATTTTTTTGCTGTAGGGTGTGTGTGCTCGCCAGAGAGAGACAGAGGGAAAATAAGAAGCATCCCCCAGGGAGATGGCCCTGCCACAATCTATTCTCCATTTTCCTATCAGAAGTTGGGCATGCACACATATACACCCAGTGTGTTTTGTAAGTTGCTGGGTCCAGGACGTGAACCATTTAGTTGACCATGCAGGATCCAGCCACCCTAACCACTACACCACTGGCTGGCCCAAATGTGCAATTCTTGTATAAATTAGTGAGGTGAGATCTTTCTTTTTTTTAGAGAGAGATTTTTGCTATAGGGTACGTGTGCTATTTGGGGATGGCCGCGCCTCAATCCCTTCTCCATTCTCCTCTTGGGATTGTGGGGATGCATGCACATGCAGCTGGCATGAGTCTCAAGCTGCTGGGTCCAGGACGTGAACCGCGGTCGGCCATGTGGGAGTCTAGCAACGAAACCACTATGCCATCTGCTGGTCCCAAGGTGAGATATTTTTATCATTCCACTCAAAAAAGAAAAAAAATAAAATAAAAGAGTAGGTTTAATGTTACTAGTCAACAGGGAATATAAATCATATAAATTAAAACCACGTGGGGGGCCAGCAGGTGGTGTGATGGTTAAGGGCACTGGACTCCCACATGGCCCACAATGGTTCCAGTCCTGGACCTGGTGTCTTGCTTTCTCACTTTCACTTTCTCTCTCTCACGGTGTCCCTCTCTGGTCTAATCAAAATAAATAAAGTTAAATAAAATAATTTTTTTTTTTTTTGACGAGGTTCTTGGTATAGGGGTTATAAGTTCGCCAGAAAGACAAGAGAGACAGAAAGCGAGAAATCACCCCCCGGGGGGATTGTGGCATGGCCATCTCCCCTGGGGGGTGATTTCTTGCTTTCTGTCTCTCTGTCTCTGTCTCTGTCTGTCTGGTGAGCACATGTGCCCTATAGCAAAAAAATCTCTCCAAAAAAAAATATTAAAAAAAAAAAAAACCACCCACACATCCATCCATCCATCCAGATGGTGTCTATGACGTGGATAAATAACGCACAGCATCGTGGAGGCCCTGAGCACCTGGGACGCTCAGAGCTTGCTGTGGAGTGTAACCTAACACAGCCACCTGGGACAGGCACTTGTCACAGCCACTTAACACGCACGTCTACACTGTGGCCTCGCAAACCCACTCCCAGGCATATATCCACAGAAAAAGTGCTCATTTACACTAAACACGTGCACAAGAATAGTCCTGGACACACTATTTGGAGTAGCCCCAAGTGGAAACTGATCCTGGCACCCAGCAACAGCTACATGAGTAAATGAGGGATGCTCTATTCAAGGAGGGAAATGAGCAGCTGCGACGAGCCTGTGTGGCTCTCAGGACCTTCCCCCGAGCAAGAAAAGCCAGACACCAACACGTGGACGCTGTAGGCGTCCACTCACCTCAAGTTCAAAATCAGACAAGGTGGACCCACGGTGACGGTGGTTGGAATAGTGCTTAGTTTAGGGGGCACTCCTGAGAGGCAGCACGGAGGAGACTGTGGCGGGCTGGTCACGTGGGTGTAAACACAGCACACACAGGATTGGTGAATGTTATGTATACAACTTAAACCTAAATGAAAGAAAAAAGAGGGGCTCGGGACCAGCAGTTGGCATAATGGCTATGTCACTGGACTCTCATGTATTTGACCATGGTTCCCGTCCCGGACCAGGCAGCTCAAACACACGCAGGGTGCATGTGCGTGCATGCCCAAGATCCCCAGAGGAGAAGGGAGGAGAAGGGATTGTGGCATGGCCATCCCCCCTGGGGGGGAGTGATTTCTTGCTTTCTATCTCTCTTTCTGGCGAGGGCACACGCCCTATAGGAAAAACCTCTGGGGGGGGGACAAAAAAACCCCTCATGCTGTGTGTGTGTGTGCCCCAAATCCCATGAAGAGAATGGAGAAGAAGGGATTGCAGCATGGCCAACCCTCCTAGGGGTGACGGTGATTTCTTGCTGTCTCTCTATCTCTCTATCTCTCTGGCGAGTGCACGCACTCTATAGCAAAAATCTCTCAAAAAAACCCCATGAGAACTGGAGGAAGAAGGATTGCAGCGTGACCACACCCTACTGGGAGTTCTCTCTGTCCCTGTCTAGCACTCGCTAGCAATGAAAAGAGAGAGAAATATTCGTAAGTGTATAGGAACCGGGCTACCCAGCCCTTAAGGAGATGTGTGGGAGTCTGGTTCCCGGTCCTCTACCCGCCCTCTCTCTTCCCAGGCTGAAGATGACTGTGGTCCAGATCCCAAACAGCCAGGTGCCAGATCCGAAGGACAGGCAAGGTGAGAACTGTGGTTCCCTGTGTTCCTGCTCTTTGTCCCTCTGTCCTACTGAGACCCAGGACTAATATTTACCCGTCCTTCCCCCACTTCCCGCAAACAGGAACTGGAGCAGGGCCGGCCGGATGAGGCTGCACAGGACCAGAAGCCACGCTGGTCGTGGGAGGTGAGAGAAGCTAGAAAAGGCCCACGGGTCCTGGGCCTGCCCCCTCTTCCGTGAAACCAGCGTGCACGCACACAAACACGCATTCCGGCAGCCCTGGCAGGAAAGGGTTGCCATGAGACCCTCCATTGGTGGCTGAGGGGCTGGGACACACCTGGGCTGTCCCTATCTCCAGGGCATCCTAGGGCAGTCAGCAGCTTGCCTCAGGCCACGCCCTTTATAGGTGGGTATTCTCCCCCTCCAAGGTCCTACTGATCATCAAGCACTTACCACATTATGTGGCTTTAAGGTCACCATCTCCTCCGGTCCCCACGGCACAGTATTCCCATCACAGAGGACCAAATCGAGGCACGCAGTGACTAAAGCAACGTCTCTGTGGGTTCAGATGGGAAGGAGCCTCAGGGAGGCCCACATTTGCTCCGTCCTTGGTGAAGGAAGGGATGGACAGTAGCCTTTAAGGGGACCTTTCCTGTGACTTCCTTCCAGACCATGTGTCCCCGGTCTCAGGGGACCTTTCCTGCGACTTCCTTCCAGACCATGTGTCCATGGTCTCCCGATGGCGGGGGCGGATAGGAGGACTCTTTCCGCCTGTCCCCAGGACCCTGACCTGCTGACCTCTTCCTCTGCACTGATTTCTTCATGTTGGTTCAACATTAACTCAGAGAGGTCAGGACAGTCCCTCAGAGTCCCTGAGCCGCACACCATGGCGCAGGTCGGCGGCCTGGGGCTACCTGGCTGCCTGGTCCTGGCCGCCCTGTGCGGTCTCCTGCACAGTCAACATGGTAAGGGCTGGGGACAGGCTGGCGCCCCGGGAAGGACCCTGGGCTGGGGTCTCCCGCCTGGACCTCTTCTCAACTGGGGCACCCAGCTTAGGGACAGAGCCGGGAGCTGGGGGCAGCTGGGAAGACTGCTGCGCCCCTCCTCCAATCTGGGGAGGGGGCGGGGGACACTTCGGGAGGGGGGATGGGGGGGCTGCATTTAGCAGCTTCCGGGACTTCCGCAGTCCCAGACATAGCAGGGCTAGGCAGGCCGCGTGGGCGCGCGCCAACAGCGGCTTCCTGGAGGAGGTGCGCGAGGGCAACCTGGAGCGGGAGTGCGTGGAGGAGCTGTGCAGCTACGAGGAGGCCTTCGAGGCCCTGGAGTCGCCCAGCGCCACGGTGAGCGGTGAGCCCGCCGCTGGGAGGGCGCTGGCCCAGGCACGCAAGGAGCGCAGGCTTCTGGGCGGGTAACCACGGCCTGGGCTGGAAAGATGCGCAGCCTCGGCCCTCGTGGGCTTCCTGCCAGGGTCCGTGAGGCCCCCTCGCCGGGCTTCAGACATGCTCCACGGCCTGGCCCACGTGGTGGCCTTTCTGCTGCTTCGGTGCAGGCCCCGGGGGAGGCAGGAGCCCTGCTCAGCCGCTGTCCAGCCCCCGGGGCTCTGCCAGGCCCCACGCCCCGCCCTGACTGCCCCAGCCCAGGGGAATCCTGTGCGCCTTTGGCCTGCGTGTTGGGGTGAACGCGCCTCTTCGCAAACTCTCTTCTCTTCTTCCAAACAAAAATAGGAAACTCCATCCACAAGGTGGCTGTGGTTAAGGCACTGTATCCCACACTGTGGGGCGCGGGATGTGCAGTTCGAGTCCTAGACCTGGCAGCTGGAAAACAGCCAGTGCGGGTGTGGGTGCCCCAAAGAGAAGGGATAGGATAGGCATTGTAGGGTAGCCATCCCTTGGTGGGGGTGGTGGGGTGCTTTCTCACTTTCCCTCTCTGCCTCCAGCGAGTCCATGTACCCTGTAGCAAACAAAAAAAAAAAAAAGAAAACAAG